AAAAAAGAGAAAAAAAAAAAAAAAAGGAAAAAAAGAAAAAAAGAAAAAAAAAAAAAAAAAAAAAAAAGAGGCTTTCCTGCTTCCCTCCAGCACGGCAGTGCACGCCTGCAGCCATGTGTCCCTCCTCTATCACATGGGATGTATCCTCCAAAGGGTGAAATTATTATTGGGGGGATGTGGCGACTCACCAGGAAGTTGAACGAGTTTGGTGAGGTTGAGCGTTTAAAGCTTGATGGGTTGCATTGGGAAACCATCAAATTCATATGCTACACTATTTCGACACCTACGCATCCGTAGCACGAAATGAGTCATTCAAAGTCTTGCTAGCGCTTGCGGTGCAGCATGGCCTGTACATTTTTCAGTTTGATGTCGAAACGGCCTTTTTGTATGGTGATATGGATGCTATAGTGTACGTTTCTCAAGTCAGTGGGTTTGAGGTTAAAGGTCAAGAACACAAAGTTTGGAAACTCAGGCGTTCCCTGTACGGTACCAAACAAGCGCCTCGCAAATGGCGTGAACATCTGGTCAATACTCTCAGGTCTTTGAACTTCAATGCGACTGAAGGCGACGAGTCTCTCTTCTCTAACTCTTCCTATTCAACATTTATTCATATGCACGTTGATGATGGGTTTGGGGTGGCTCGGACCAGGGCTGAAGGTCAAGATTTCTTGACCCGGCTAAGTGCGCATTACAAACTCAAGACAAAGGAAATGCCAACACGACATCTTGGCTATACGCTTGACTGGAAGGAGGACGGTTCAGTCATTTTACATCAAGAAGACTTTTGCGTCAAGATGCTCAAAGAACTTAAGATGGAAAATTCCAATCCAGTCAAGACTCCAGCCGCTCAGGATCTACATGCTATTGTTGCTACTCCGGCTCAAGATGCTGACAAGGGTCTTTATCTCAAGGCAACTGGAATGCTTAGCTATCTAGCCTTACATACTCGTCCTGATATACTATTCACTGTCAATCTACTCTCCCAATTTAACAACAAACCAACTTTGTCTCACTGGTCGGCAATTCGTCATCTAATGCGCTATCTTAATGGAGCAAGACGAATCGGGCTACACTACACGAAATCTGTAGCTTCTGACAATCTTCTGACTGGCTGGGCGGATGCTGACTATGCGACGTCGTTAGTAACCAAGAAATCAACCTCTGGGTTCTGTGTGACTCTTTTTGGTAATATGATTTCATGGACGACTAAGAAGCAATCTGTAGTTGCCCAATCAACCACTGAAGCAGAATTTATATCTTCCAATACATGTGCAAAGCAGTTAAGGTGGTTATCAATTTTAATAAGCAGTCTTAACATCAAATTGAAGAAACCTCCTCTAAACGTTAAGATACATAATGACAACTCGGGTGCTGTTATAATCAGTAAGGAAGCTCAACTCAACCCAAATTCTAAACACATTGAAGTAAGATATCAATATCTACGGAATCTCATATCTCGAAATTTACTAAGTATGGAACAAGTGTCAACTCATGATATGATTGCAGATGTATTAACTAAACCTTTAGGACGGGTTAAACATGAAAGAGCTATGAATCAGTTGAAACTCACTAAGGCATGATTTAGGAGGAGTGTTGTGTAATTGAAATCATACCCAGTGAGAGGTCAATGATATATTGAAGTTTACTACGTCAAATGATCAATTATGTAATGGGTAATGGAATGGAATTGGCAATGGTTAAATGCGTCAATATCTTCTCATACGTTTTGACCTAAGCTCCTATTGATGTTTTCTATGATTTAACTTCTCTCTCTCTTTATGATTTATGTTTTCTCTCTTTCTTGATTTGTTCTTGTATCATTTTCTCTCATTTCATTTATTCTCAATTTCTCTATTTTACCCATCAAAGATATCTAGGAAAACAACAACTACTAGATCACCACGACACATAGTCTCGTTGATAGTAACTGACTGCAGGAGGAGTCTGCTACCTATCTATTGTTTTCAGGTAATTAGATTCTTTGATGGTTGCTAAGAAAAGAATATAAAACATATGTATTAATGTTTCTTATTGTAGACATAGTAGGGATCATCCAATATTCCTAGAAGTCACTTACACTCACCGAGTTCTTACTAGTGTTGATCTTATATTAGGTATTGATCATTGTCTACATGTCTCTTTTAAAGTCTGTTTTATTTCTTTTACTAACGTCTTATATTAGTTGTTTGAAATCTATATATGTGATTGTTGCTGCAATAAAGACATAAAGATCTCAAAAGCTTTCAATGGCGTGGTCTTTATTTCTATGTACGTCTTTTGAATAATTTCTCGCACCTAGTGGAATCCGCACCAACCTCGAACGACGCTCAGGACCGGGATTGCCCAATTTGTTTGCATGGTTTTTGTATGGGGCAGAGGTATGTCCAACTACCCTGCAGCCACACACACTTGCTACACGAAAATTGCCTACTGGAGCTGTCCTGTAACACTGGGTTTATTTTCATTTCCTGCCCGATGTGCCGACAATTCCCCTTTATACGGTCTGAGACCCCACCCCAGAGCTAAACTTTGTATGTTACTGATCATAAATCTAGAAAACAAATTCATTTCCGAATGCATTTGATTTTTCACCCTGCCCATACACAAGGCTAGAGAAGCCTTGACCTTATTATATATCTTGATCATGAGAGAGGTACACTTAAGTTTATTTTCTCTGATCTCATTAGTCATGTTTGCGGTTAGCAGTGAGTAGGGGTATACCCTCCAGTGAATGGCCACAAAAAAAACTCCAAATCTCAAACTTTATGACCAAGTCCCGGAGGGGATGTCTCACTCTGCGGTTGGTGGGTCTTGTGGAAATGCACTGGACACTCTGGAGTCTGAGTCTGGGATTGTGGGTTTGGGATTGTGACCCCGCCGCCGCCCGGCACTGACGCCCCTATGAGACTAAGCAGGTCGGCTGGGGACCGCGAGTGGCGGCATGGCTGCGAAAACATAGTGTGCCGAACCCGGGCGCCGCGGCCGCGCATTTTTCTGATCACTAAAGACGAGCGGTTCATGGTTGATTGAAGTGAACAATTCACAGGTCATCTCCATCCTAGCAATACTAATAGTTAAAAGTATCGTATAACTCTGATGGGTCGGATCAAACAAAGAGAAGCTATGGACCGTGTACAGTATCTTTTGTTGTGTTTGATTGACATCAAGTCATGAGAAGGTTATCAATGCCCTATCTCTACACAACAGAATCTGATTGTATTTCATCGAAAGGCGCTTCAATTTAAAAATAAAAGCGTGGTTTTTAATACATCTATCAGCACACATACCACTAGAAGATGACACGGCAAAAAAATCTCCAACTGATAAAATGATAAATTCGAAAAAATGACTTGACAAGACGAACCGGGACTACTTCGACTTTCACTCATCATAGTCGGAGTTGAGGATGGAGAAGACATTTTTAAATCCAAGTACAGCTGCAAAAGCTCGCCTTAATTGTACGTTGACATTGGTGCTTGATGTTCGAACGTGTAAGAGGAAGCACCGAAAATTTGAATCAAAATTGAAAAGGATGAAGAGAAAAGGAGAGAAGTTCTTCTGGCGATGAGTTTTGTACCATCTCTCTTCTGGCATACGTAGTTTTCACTGAAGATTCCAAACTGTTCTTGTACATCAACGTTTAAACGTCATATTGAATGACTCTGGCTGGGTTCTGGTGAGCCCTGGCCCTGAGGTTCGGGATCGGACGCAGATCGAGTTCTAGAATCAAGCAAAACAAAAGTTGGGATGATGTCAATGGAACTCAGACGTCTGAACTAAGGAGATTACTGACCTCCACCGGAGTAATGGTACGGTTCCGAGAGGGTGATTTTCCATACATGAGGACTGCTTCTGAACACCCGATGACGGCGAACTTGAGGTCGGAAGCGTAGGTGAAGGTTCCGATGGCCGTTTGTATGGAGGTGTCGGGTTCTGTGGTACGATAGGGGTGGCTGATAATGGGATTGAAACTGGAATGCTTCGATTTTCACTCGTTACAGTGGGAGCCGAAGTTGGAAAAGATGTACATTGCTCCAATGCTTGAGTCTGTTGAGAAGATTTGCTTTTGTCCAATATAGATGCAGATTGCTGATAATCAAAAACAGCAAGAACGCAAGCGGTGAAGATCAGTTTTTGATTGCAAAAGGGCTTGAAGAAATCGAAAACACGGAAGACATACCAGAGTCGATCTTCTTAACCTCTCTTTGTCGGCGTTCAACTCCTTCTGAAAATCCGCCAAGCTCATATCTTTTTCAGTCAAGATGTAGGGTAAAGGTTGCGAGGGTGTGACTTTGGCTCGCTTGGGGAAAGCAGCTGGAGGTTGAACAGGGATAGGAACAGAGCTCTACATTCAAGGGAAGAACAAGTTGAGAAAGACTTTAACGGTGCTCGTGTATTGGAAGGAACTTGACCTGAACAGACCACTTACTTCGACATGAGATATTGTTCGTTTCCTCGGAACTTCTTTACCATACATCAGGTCGAGGAATTCATCAAAGGCGGTCATGATGCTAGAGATAATGTTGAAAGAGTAGGTAAAGATGACAAGAAAGATCTGTTTTCAAACAAAATACAAAAAAGATGGGCTCGTTGGAGACACAGGGAAGGCGGGAGAGATATGAAGAGCTTGGTCGTAACAAGCAACTGCCCTTGTCTCGGAATTGTATGCCAATGCCTTTACGCGCAGGACGAAATTTTCGAGAGCCACACGCTATCAAGAACAGATTCACCGTGGCGCTCGAAGACAAACGGTGGAGAGGTTGGCAATGCGGGTTTTCTATGAATGATTGCACTGATGACCCTTTTGCAGCGTACGCCCAATCACACAAAGACAACCCCTTTTTGGTAGGTTGACTATATGAGGTTATTAGTGAGGGGTGAGCACCTGGTGTCAAAGTCTGATAAAAAACCACGGAGTTGGCTCCTGTTTGCTCTCAAGGAACAAAACCAACGTGATACTTTTCGCCTTGACTCTTGTCCCTCCTGGACTTTTCCCCCGTTTTTGCCAGTTTTGTGTTAAATTATGACATTATTTCTCGACTATGCCCCAAGAAGCTTGGGTTTTCTTTCTATGGCATCATAGGTGCTATGGGCACTTCTATAACACGCATGGAATGAATCGGTCGTTGTATTGATCCATTGGGTTGTTGCTTCTTCCTCTGTGTATTATTGAAATTCTTGGGCTTCATGTTCAAGAATATCATGTGTAAAATGCATAAGAAAACAATATCAAGGATAAAAAGCTAGACAGAAGCTGAAAATGAATGACAAGACTTGACTGGGTGGCCGGGAGGAAACTGAAAGGCTTTCGTTCTCAAAGGAAAAGGGATCTGTATATGAGAGTACCAAGGGTACCGATCTCAATACCCGTGACAGGTGTACCGAGTCTCAATGAATGAGCTGATTGTCCGAGGATAAGCCATAGGGGCTCTCAAACCTGACCTGGTTTTCAAAAACCCAGTTGACCCAGTTGACTTTTTGGCAGTAACTTTGTATATAAATTTGACATTTATTGACAGCTCCCAGCCTATAACTCAACTGGGTCAACTGGGTTTTCTCGAAACCGTGTCCGGCTTGAGAGCCCCTCATACATAACACTTTCCAGAGCTTTCAATCATGCGTGTGATTATCAAGATGGAACGATAAAAATGGCAAAAGAATATGCCTCCTTCTCATTTAAGCTGTAAATGCATTTTGGAGGAGCAATTGAGCTGTACAAAGGCGGAGATGCGACAAAAGACAATTGTAAAGTAATGTGGGTCTTTTGGGAAAAGCATAAACACAGATGAGGTCACCTTCTGGCGCCGCTTTTTCAAAGTCCTGGGCAGTGACCCGTATACTTATGCACCTATAAGAAGACCGCACCTGACAGGCAATACTCCCTAAACGCACCCCAGGCGACTCCTTTCAACCTAACCAGCGTAACCGTAACAAAAACTGATCGATTCAACTACAACATAAATTCTTTTCAAGTGACAAATTCCTTTTAATTGCTTTCAACACCTACAGTAAACAATGGCACAAGCAAACTACACACCCAACGCTGGTCACGCACAACTCTTGAGGGATCTCCAAAGTCTTCAAAGCAGACTTGACAAGGTGATGACAGGTCCAAATACTCCCAGAGCCATAACTTCCGAAATACAACAAACCCTTTCAAAAGAAGCATTCATTTTTGTCATTCTAGGTTTAGATTACAGTGAAGAAAACACATCAGAACTAGTGGATCAAGGGACAACAAGAAACAGTGACCTTGTTAATCGCCTCCGCTCAATCCCTGAAATCCGCAACTTGGACTTATCTGCAATTTCTAGACTTCCCCCTCCCGGATCACCAGCGTCGCGTGCAATTTTGCTTTGGAGTCATCTTTTAACTATGTACTCTCAAGTATTTCAAGCCCAGCCCAACTCAACGCAAGACCAAAGCCCACAATGCGCACATTGCCTCGAAAAGATCCCCATTGGCAAAAGATACATTCAGTTTCCTTGTCATGTCTCCTCCAAGTTTCACGAGACCTGTTTCACCGAGATGGCTGGTTTTACTTTGGCAGTTAAGTGTCCGGTTTGTCATACCATTCCCTTTGTACCTTCTCAGTGAATTTTTTTGTATGATTTGAACCAAGAAGTCAATTGATAAGATATCACCGCAGCAAACACTATAATTCTTGTAGCTATGGTTTCTACTTTGGCTGACAATTGATTAACAAGTATGTCTCAAATTCAAAGAATTGACACAATACAGAAACAATGGTTTGATAATCACAATGAATAAGTGAGCTGAATCAAGAGAGCCACTTTGAAATGAAGCCCCACTGATGGAACTCAGCCATATCCATTAGGGACACAAAGTTGAGCTCCCGGTAGCTGAGAATGATCATTGATGTGGATGGAAAAGTAAGAGACTGAGGAGACAAGAGGTGGATATCTCAATTTTTCCCATTCAAAGCATGATCCAACCACAGGTCTTTGCCCTACACAGGCTAAACTCAAAAGTCGAGGTAGCAGGGGTAAACTAGAGCTCAATTGTCATGGAGTCTATGTAATAAGGACAAACCTCAAAGAATGATGAGTTGCAGGTAAGAAGCAAGGATGGATACAAGCTTCCATGAATCTTGGAGCACCTATATAAGCTGTTGCTATATGAATAGAGTGTGGTTCTGTGGAATTGTCACCTCATGATAACATGGACTTTCAAAACTGATACTGCGGTTACAAAAGAGGAAGATTCATGTACATTGGATTGGTCAAGAACCTCCTATTGTTAGCTTGGGCATCAAGTCAAAACTTTTGAGATCACAGCCCTAGTAAGAAGAGTATGTGTGTGACAATTCAATCATATAATGGGCACAACTTTTTGAGTATTTATCAACGCGACCAACAATTGGTAGGGGACAAGCTTTGAGTTTTGAAGGTGAGAAAGTAAAAGTAGTAGAAGATACACAGTCAGGATATGCAACCTTGGAATGTGTGTTATGAATTTGGGTAAGAAGACAAATGGGGAATACTGATGCAAAGGTTTTGAATATTTCACAATTTTCTGTACATGTCAGATATTTTCAGTCCACTGCCAGCATTAAATAGGTTCCCTGGTTGGAACATGACCTAGGCTGGGAATATCATTGAGAGAAGAATGGAGAATCAAATCATCTTGCACTGCACATCTGAGCCATAAAGCATACACTACATATGTGCAAACATCTGAGTAATCCTTAGCTATCAGCTACATACAGGTCCGCTCAGTTATCTGCTCATCTAGATAAGAAAATCATGTGTAATACATGCTGTAACTTTGTTCAGATTGAGACACACATTTCAAAATATCGACTACATATATCACAATGGCTACTCAGGAAATATTCATGGAACTGTGTAACAGTAGCAGAATGGGAATCTGATCACTAGGACCCGTATTCCCATCTGGGAACCTCTTTAACGCTGGCAGTGGTCAGGCAAGGAGTGAGATTAATAATCAAATCTATTGGTTCAAACTGACCTTGCCATGATTGGTGGTCAAGTTAAACAAAGGAAGGATTTGTTATGTGGATAGTACCCTTTGATTCTTTTGATGAAATTCACAAGGGGAGATGTGCTATTTATATAGCCAAAATTAGAAAGACAAACAACTGGTGACAAGTATCTACTGTTGTCTTAGAAATGGTGTAAATTGCCATATGCCAATGACAGCAGGTCAACCTGAACGCACAAGATGAGATTCCCAACAGCACAACATGATATCAAGAATATATTCATCATGACACACCAGAACAGATTGGAAGTGTTCCCTGAGCTTGCGGAGGTACACATCAGTCCATGTCTGATCTGCGGGTGGAAAACTGGGAGCGCGGATAGGACCGAGGCTCAATTGTGAAAGGTGGGAAACCACCTGTCACAGAAGGAGCAGAGTTCGAGGATGTACAGAAAGAGAGATAGAGTTTTTATCTCTCTACTCGACTACATCCTCTCTCCCTATCCTGCGCTCAGAGTTTTGCAAGTCTCAATCTTGATCTAGTAATCTTTTCAAAAAAAAATATATATAAAAACATACCAGTCGTTATAAGATTAAGAATTGAACTGAAGATAATCAACACGAGCACTACGAACAAATTAAAAAGGTTAAATCAAAACAACGTAGAAGAATATTTCTTTCAAGATCATAACACGCTGAATGTGGAGGCAACTTAAGAAGAAATCAAATACTAGTAAAGAATATAAATCTGAAAGTATGATTCAAGCCATGAAGCAAGCGGAAGAGAAGAAAAAGGCTCAAGAGTTGAAGGAAGCAGAACAAGCGGAAGGCAGGAAGCGTAGAATGGAATCAAGAGCACCTGGTGGATCTCAGTTGACTCCGAAAGAACGGGAAAACAAGAAGCCTACGCAATCAGGGGAGATGGAAAAGGAGGATGTAGAGACACAGGAAGGTGTCGGGGAGAAAAGTCAAGAGGCAGAAGGGATGGTAGAGGATAGGAAGGAAGGTTCAAATGAAGGAGGTAAAGAGTCGTCATCAAGTGAAGAGTTGACAAAAGAAGATATTCAGAAGGCGATTCAAAAGAAGAATAAGAAGAAGAATAGAGGTAGAGGAAAGGGAAAGGAGAAGAAGGAGGGTTCATCAGAGGAATCGGGGAGTGAGAATGGCTGGTTGGGGGAGATAGCAAAGGATTATGGAAGGTTGGTGGAGAAAGATCAACGTGAGTAATTCTTATCTAGGATGAGTTATGAGAAAAGGAACGCACCTGGAGAATGGGGAAGTGTGAGCAGCTTGGCGCTCCAGAGATGTCATCCTAAAGGGATTAGGACAAAGGAGACTGGATTTAATCTAAAGAAGATAAATCAGTCGGCACCCTATGAGCTCCAGAATGTTGTAGAAGCTGAGGAAAGGAATCCAGAAGACCCTGATGCTGACGAGAATATCTGGGGGGATTCGGGGGGTTGATGTTACGACAGGCCCGATAGATGCGCAAGCGAAAAAGAAGGAGAGAAGAGGAATGCTGGATGGGCGACCACTCCTAGATCGTTTAGCGGAGGTGATTGAATTCGGTAATGAGGAGGACTTTATTGAATTAAGGAGAGAGATGAAGTCGAAGAAGAATGAAGAGAGAGAAGAGGAGGGGAGAGAGAAAGGAGGAAGGAAGGAGGAGGAGGATAGAGAGAAGAGGAAGGGGTCAAGTTCGAAGAAGAAGAGAACCAGGAGAGGAAAGAGAGGTGGTTCGTCGTCGTCGTCATCAGAAGATGAGAAACCAGACTCGACTAAGGAGAAGAAGGTGTCCAAGAGGTCGAAGTTAGAGGACTCGTCTTCAGGAGAAAGCTCGGATTCGGAGTCTGATTCGTCGAGGGCTGGCAGGACGAAGAAGGAAAGGCCCATAGTATTCTCTTTCAAACCTGTGGCGGCGTACGATCTACCGGATCTTCCACCTCAATGGGAGAAGAATTTCAGACGGATGAAATATTATGTTCCCCTATCGGTTTTTACGGCGTCGTACATTGATGAATATAAGTCGACGAGTAAATCAAATCTCGGGAGGTATAAGTGGGATAGCCATCACTTACATTCGAGAGAAGAGCTAGAATGTCACATGACGTACGGAGAATTCAGTTTGGCATGTGATCTGGAGTATCGGTATGCGTTAGAGAGATATAAGTTTAAGGAGTATGCTGATTATATAGAGAGACATAAGGCAATTGTTAGTAAGATAGCAAGGAAACACAAATGCTGGATGGTCGGTTTGAGGTATCACTTAGCGATAAGAGCATTGACGTTTAGAGTGAGGACTGAAGATACGTACGAAAAGTCCAAGGAAGGAAAGAAAAAGAGAAGGGTTGAAGAGGTTGAATTACCGGATGGACATCAAGAGGAGGCGGAAGATGATGCAAGATGGGAAGCCCAGATGGCGGGAGACCTGAAGTTTGAAGGGAATCCATACGCCCTGGGTCAACCGAAGTACGGTTGGGTGTTCAAGACCGGCCAGGAACCAGACCCGACAACGGATCATCTCGCAAGGTTGAATGCCGAGGAGAAAGGTGGTTGGAAAGGAAGGGGTCAACGTGGTGGTAATCGAGGCCATTATGTGAAGCCAGAAACGTCGATGCCGTTTAAACCGCAAGGCCAATTTCAGAAGAGAGGGGCCGGGAAGGATTGGGTGACTCTAGGGCAGCAACATGCGAGTAACCAAGCCTCGGGCTCAGGGAAAGGGGGAAGAAAGTATGGGAAAGGAGAAGGGAAAGCTGATTGCTAATGATAGGAGAAAAACATTAGAGAGGTTCTGAATGAGATAAAAAATTTCCCCTACCTTGAAATGCATAATGAATGTGACGTCTTGTGAAATTTAGGGAAGGTGTACGTCATCTGAGTACCCCAGAGTGATGCCGAGAGAGTATCCGAGAGTGAGGCAGAGAGAGGTGAGATCCCAAGCTGCTGAGCAGGAAGAACGAGGTGAAGAGATAGTGAGTGAAAGGGTGAGGGGTAAGAGGAAAGCGGTGGAAGAGAGGGAGAATGTTGGAGGAGAGGAAAGAGAAGTAGAAGAGGTAGAACGGCCAATGGAGGAGAGCCCTCAAGAATCAGAACAGTCGGAATCTGAAGAGGAGAGTTTGAAGAAGGAGAAGCAAATCTTACCATTGAGCCAGAGGAAAACGTTCCGTGTTAAAGTCAAGAGTGATTGGCCGGCTCCGGTGAAATGTGAAATGAATATTGCGGAATGGGAGGTGCAGATGAAGAAGGTAGGCCTTGTTGACAACATTCCGTACATCATAGAGGGACTTCGAGACGGTTTTTGTCTAGGGATACCGCAGCATGAATTTGGCGAAGAAAGGTGGTATACACCAGATAATCATGAGTCCGCCTTGGAAGCAAAGGAGCAAATAGAGGCGACGTTAGCTAAGGAAGCAAGGGCAGGGAGGATAGTAGGACCATTTACGCACGGCCAAGTATATGAGAAATTCGGGTTTTTTAGAACGAATCCGATGGGAAGTGCGGTGAACGGAGATGGGTCAGTCAGGCTAATCAATGACTTGTCATATCCAAAAAATAAGCCGGAGACACCGTCGGTAAACTCGTTCGTAGATAAGAAAAATTACAAAACGAGCTGGGATGACTTTAAAGTAGTGGCCAGATTCTTTCGAGAGAACCCAGGAGATTGGGACGTGGCGATCTGTGATTGGGAGAAGGCTTATCGTCAGTTAGGTAATCATCCGTGTCAGAGAAGGTTCTTGTGTATTAAAGATTTTAAGGGGAGGATATGGATCGATTTAGCAGTTGGATTCGGGGGGGTAGCAGGGTGTGGAGTGTTTGGAGCGCCAGCTGATATATGGAAGAAGATAGCGATGGAAATACTAAAGATCCCGATGATCTTTCGCTGGGTCGATGATAACCTAATATTCAGGAGACCAGGTCAGAAGGTGAGCTTGGGAGATGTGGTTAATTTGAGCAAGGGTCTGGGGGTAAAAACAAACCCGAAAAAGAGCTTTGATTTCGACGATGAGCAGAGGTTCCTGGGTTTCATCTGGAACAGGAAGAAGCATACAGTCAGACTACCGCAAGACAAAATAGATCAAAGGTTAAGTCAAGTGATAGAATTTCTCACGACGAAAGACCCGTGGAGCTTGTCCAAGGTCGACACGTTGGTAGGTAGACTAAGCCATACGATGAACGTTGTTCCGCACATGGCGGCATATATGGGCTCGTTCTATAGGATGCTGAAGAGCTGGCACGTACCGGGAGCAAGGAGGTTTCCAACAGATTCAGCAAAAGCCGACCTGCAGGAATGGAAGGTGTGTCTAGAGACTCTAGAAGCATGTACACTAGTACCGAACCCAGTCCCAGAAGAGGTGGGATGGGTGGGAGATGTGTCGACATCATTTGGGTGAGTACAGGAGGTGACCAGATGTGATGGATAGAGCTGATAGAGTTTGATCGACACTAGGATCGGAGTACAGGTAGGAACCAAATGGGTGTGTTTCGCCTGGAAGGAAGATTGGTTGAAGAACGGCCTGGTGTCTGGAAAACGCAATATTGCGTGGGCAGAGACGGTGACAATCAGAATGGGATTGTTGGTGTTAGCAAGGTGCATCCCGGTGAGAGGTAGGAATTTCTGGGTCGAGACTGATAACACAACGACTGAGAACGCCATAAAGAAACAAAAGTCAAAAGATGTAAGGGCGAACGAAGAGATGAAGATGATACAGAGATTACTCACAATCTTAGGTTGTAACATAAAGCAGAGACGTGTTACGTCTAAAAATAATTTGGCTGACAAACTGTCAAGAGGGATTTTCGAAGAGAGGGGGTGGTCTGATGAAGTGATAGTGGAGGTTCCAGACGATCTAAGTCCGTTGTTGTCGCAGAAGTCCATTCCACTTGGGAACTTTGTTAATAATCCTTAATCGTTAATCTATAATCGTCTTGAGTTGTTAAATTTCTTTTTAATCAATCAATTGTCAATTTGTTCCCGAGTGAACATGCCCAGAAAGTCAAAGCTAGAGGTGATTGACCTGACGCTCTTGGAAGAAAAGCCGGAAAAGCGTTTGTTGAGAGCGACTCGACCGTTTGGAGCATTCAAGAGCAACGCGTTAGGAGTCGACAAATCGGAGATTGATGAAGTTCAGAAGCATTTCCTGAGAGGATCATGGGCGGACGGGACGCTAAAGCACTACAATTCAGGAGTAGTAAAGCTTTTGAGGTTTGCTGATGTTAAAAAGGTGGATAGAGCAAAGCTGCTACCAATTTCGGAGGACCTGGTAATAGATTTTGTGGTGTGGGCATCCAAGAAAGGAGAAGAAATGGCGGAAGATGATGAATCGGTTAGGGCATCAACTTTGAAGTCATATTTGGCCAGAATAAAGTTGTGGCATACGTTCCATAGGTCCACTTACCCTCACGGATCAGATGAAACGGTGATCAAGCTGCTGAAAGCGTCGAGGATGGTAGAACTGAAGTATCAAGAGATAGAGAGGAGGAGACCGCCGGTAATGATCTCGGATTTGGTGATATTGGCCGAGAATACGGATATGTCCAATGAACAGTCAATTGTAGCAACGACGGTCGCGTTAGTCGCTTTCTGGGGGACAGCGAGGTTGGGAGAGTTGGTTTCGAATGATCCAAAGAAGGACTTGTCGAGGTGGGAAGATGTAGAATGGGGACCGAATGGAACCTATGCGAGGATAGCGATACATGGGGCAAAGACGGCGAATCCGGGTGAAACTCAGTATATCTTTCTACAAGATCAAAGGTCATGCTTAGACCCAGTTAGAGCTTTGAAATTACTTTACGACTTTAGACCAAGGAAGCCTTCCGATCTGATATTTGCGATAGATTTTAGCAAGGAACCACAAGATAGAGGTAGGGTGTACAGGAAATCTGCTCTGATAGAGTCATACCGGAGAACTTGGAATAAGCATAGGTCGAAGGGAAAGCAAATGCTGTATGGGCACTCATTTAGAATAGGTGGTGCGTCATTGAGATGGAATTTAGGGGCATCGAGGGAAGATGGGCCTTGGAGGCGTACAAAATATACCTCAGGAAATTTGATCACAGAGAACTCAAAGAGACGGTCAGTCTATTGAGGAAGCTCAAGTTTGAGTGAATCTGAATAGGGGAATAGGAGGGGTCGCGAACTCTAATAGAGGTGAGTGTATTATATTGAACGAGGCCAGGCAAGGAGACAGAAGTTGATGAACTTTAAATTTCTCAGACGAAAGGATTGGGGCAGCGGTATATTAAATCAAGAGATGCGGAGAGATAGAAAAAGGGTACCGCGTGAAAGAAATGAGAACCTAAATACAGATCGTGTATAGAAACGTAGATCATGTGGAGATAGTTTAAAGAAGCGTAGATCATGTGGTTAGGCAATTCCAGAGGGATTGTGAATGGCAGAAACAAACGAGAGACTCTCACGAGAGTGGAGTTTGGGGGTTTCGACTTCTCAGGCTCACGGCTCCGTCCTCCCGTGAGAGGTGGGGTAGAGAAGTCATCCCTTCTCGGCGCTGTTCTTATCCCAAGGGGTAAAGATGGGGAGTTGGGGATTAACAACTCCCCGGATCCTTTGCCCTTTGGGACCATCCCCAAACCACACAAGTGTAGGTTGCTAGGTCCTTGGAGAAGGGCGGCGATTTATGCGTGGTAGGACAAGCCTGGAAGATAGGGGCTTTTGTAGATGTGAGCAGATTCTAGAAAGCTGCCACATAGAAGAAAGCAATAAGATTCATCAAGCACAGAACTTGTAACTAGTCAGATTATAGAATGGATTGGAAGTGTTCCCTGAGCTTGCGGAGGTACACATCAGTCCATGTCTGATCTGCGGGTGGAAAACTGGGAGCGCGGATAGGACCGAGGCTCAATTGTGAAAGGTGGGAAACCACCTGTCACAGAAGGAGCAGAGTTCGAGGATGTACAGAAAGAGAGATAGAGTTTTTATCTCTCTACTCGACTACATCCTCTCTCCCTATCCTGCGCTCAGAGTTTTGCAAGTCTCAATCTTGATCTAGTAATCTTTTCGAAAAAAACCCACCCACCACCCGGGGTAGAGAAGTCATCCCTTCTCAGCGCTGTTCTTATCCCAAGGGGTAAAGATGGGGAGTTGGGGATTAACAACTCCCCGGATCCTTTGCCCTTTGGGACCATCCCCAAACCACACAAGTGTAGTTTGCTAGGTCCTTGGAGAAGGGCGGCGATTTATGCGTGGTAGGACAAGCCTGGAAGATAGGGGCTTTTGTAGATGTGAGCAGATTCTAGAAGGCTGCCACATAGAAGAAAGCAATAAGATTCATCAAGCACAGAACTTGTAACTAGTCAGATTATAGAATGGACAGTGAGTGATTGATGATGTCGGTCCACCGCAGGCACCGCCAACATAGATGCCTTGGATTGAAAAATCCGAGGCATCATTGGATGGAAACCCTCGGACAGGTCTTGTCCGAGGATTTGATCCGAGGTATTTTTTGATGCAAAATGATACCTCGGATCAAAACCTCGGAAAGATTTTGTCCAAGGATTTGAGTCCAATGATACCTTGGATTTTTCAATCCGAGGCATCTTTGTTGGCTGTGAGGCACACCACAGGTAGGCTGTGTTAACATTTACATGTGAGGAGTGGGTTTAGGCTTGGGTTGCTATGGCAACTTGCGTTTTTTTACGCCTATACTGTCATGTGGCAAGTCTATTAGCATGCATATGAATGGAAAGAAATAAAGCGTAATGAGACTGAAAAAAAGAAACAGCAAGGAAAAACTGGTGATGACCTGAGCAGAAACATGAGAGCTGGTGAGTTCTGTGGGTGGCACATTTTTGATAGGTTTACAATGTTTGTAAGCCTTTGTAGCTTTTTTGAAGAGATGAAAGAAAACAGCAAAGGAAATTATTGGTTTCTTGTTGGAATTTGGACATATTCTGGTGGTAGACAGACACAGAACATTTTTTTGAACCCAAATGCTGGTTTGGACATGTAACACTGCAAACATCAAACAACTTCCCTTCAATTGGGTGGGGGAAAATTATTGAAAGTATAATTGGTCATACAGGATTGATCAACATATACCCAAGGCATAGCACCCACACTACATATGTGCAGCAGGATGGGTAAATTTGGAGCTGTCATGTACATACAGAGCTGCCCAGCTATTGGCTCATCTGAATGAGTAAATCATATGTATTACCTTCTGCGATTTTTGCAGTTTGACAAAAGCATTTCAAGAATTTACTACATACACTGACTCATAGCTTTTGTGTAATCTCATCAAGTAAACCTCATGTAACACCCTTCCTGTTACTATTGAATGGTGTCCATAGTATTTCCTGAGTAGCTATGAAGGTATATGTAGTCAATTTTTTGGGAGGATTTTGTCAAACGGAAAAAGTTACATGATGTATTACATGTGATTTATTTATTCAGATGGGCGGGAAACTGAGCAGACCTGTATGTACATGATAGCTAACACCACGGGAATGATTAAGTTCAAAACCCGATTGAGCAAAGTTGTGGTGTCCGAGTCCACAACTTTGCTCAATCACTGATCTCGTTCACATTGCGTTCACATCTTGTTCACAGGTTTCCCTCCAGTGACCCTCTGCAATCTTAAGTAACAATCATACAACAGAAAGTCCCTTGCAAGTCATCAGTATTTGACATTTGTTGCTAATCTGATTCATCTTTCTGATTTTCATCTCAGTGATTTCACCACGCCCCATGAAGTATTGTCCCATCACCATCATTTGGGTCGCTGACCATCAATGTTAAACAACACTGAGTGTTTATGGCAAAATTTTTTAGGGATATGGACAGAGAATTGTGCTTATGTCAATTTTTTCAATGTTCCAGAGGCTCAACCAACAAAGAAAGGAGCTTGTTGAGGACAAATCAAAATTTGATCTTGAATACATACAAAGGCAGAGTATCATCAGAGCTTGGGGGAAACCTGTGAATAAAATGTGAACGTGATGTGAACAAGATCCGTCATTGAGAAAAGTTGCGGACTTGGACACCACACCTTTGCTCAACCGGGTTTTGAACTTAATCATTCCCGCGGTGGAACAACTTACTCAGATTGTTGCACATATGTAATGTGGGTTTTATAGCTCAGGTGTGCAGTGGTCAACAATTTATGACCAATGATACTTCTAATGATTCTCCCCTGCTCAATTGAAGGTAAGTTGTTTGATGTTTACAGTGTAAGGGTGGGTGGGAGGCCATCAAAAATATATGAGATTTTCAAAAAAAGATAGCAGATGAAAAGGTTTGGATGAGAGAAAGCTGTGTAGACACAAAATATGTTTTTAGATGAAAATGTTTTTGATGGGAGAAAAGATTCACAATGGGGAACAAGTGTGTGTCTTATAGGAATCCTTTTCCTCAGCCCTTGAACTTGAAGTCCATGCCTTCTCCTTGTGTGAGAGACAAAAGGTCACATATGAGAGGAGTGGAAGTCTAGGTTGCGATCCGTGTGCTTTCACTACCCAAAGCCTTTCCTACCCATTCCTGTGTGTCAATATGTGTATCAACTCTGAGGCAGAAAGACATGCACATCCAGAAACTCCACACTGTGACATGATCTTATGTGCTTTGCAAAAAAGAAGGAATGTTCAGAAGAGTTCGCTGTGTTTTATATATTTCAAGAGGGTTCTCTTCAGGTAATGAGTGGTTCAAGTACATGAAGGTGGTTTGAACTGAGTTTGACACACTTGAGTGGTTAAGTCCAAGATTAAAGCGACGAGTGTGTAATGTGGGCCTTTGATATGGTTTTTTGGTGCACTCAGTCAACTTAACATCAACATTCATGAAGGATATCTCAATGCAATATCCTGTGTTTACAAAAGAAAAACTGATAATACTGGGATGTTAAGACTCTCCACAATTGAAAAGGAAAAAAATCTGATACATTTACTGAGCACATATAAAAGAAACATAATGCAGAGTGAGTCAAGAAGGAAAATAGAAGGAAAAGAAAGGAAGAAAAGTTATTCAAGAGATATACCAACTGAAGAATTTGAATACTACATCATTGTACTTAGAACTGCAACAAACATGGACTCAAAGTAACAGAAGAAAAAGAAAAAAAGCAAAAACTATCAAGAGAGGGGAAGAGGATATCGATAGGATGGAAATAATTTCTGGAGACCATCCAGTATCTTTATATCTTCATCTTTTTCTTCTTCCGACTTAAGACTTGGATTCTGTGAAACCCCTTCCTGTCCCTTTGCTTCAACCATCCGCGAGCTTGCAAACCGTAGCGATCTTCATTCGGCGCATTTCCAAAGGACAGGGGCATTGGTCTTCTTCTCTCTAATGCTGGGTTAGGAGGGCGATGAGGATATGATGCCGCCTGCCTAAATGGCACCGTTGGCGACGGGTTCAGTGATGCAGGAAGTGAAGAACACGATGTACTCGGACTGATTTGACTTTCGCCCATCAAGCTAGGAGTTACATGTGCAGGTCCCATCAATAACTCCAATGCCAATTGCAACTTGAATGCCTCCAATTCTTCATATCGTGTGGTTTGCTGATAGTTTGTGATCATGAACTAAATCGAGAGAAATACATCAGATTCTGTTCAAATAAGCTAAGGATAAAATCGTTCAAAGATGGGTCACATACATTCATGTTTGGGTAGGATCTTCGAACTATCTCTCTACCACTACTGACGTAAGCTAAATCTCGGGAACTTGTAGTCACTCCTGCGTTGGTATATATACGCCTTTGTGGTTGAGGTCGTACAATTCGGGCACGCTTGATGTGAGCTCCAGGAGCCAGATTGGAAATGTCAACCGAGTTCTAGAATTGAAGGAACGAACAGTTGAAGAATGTCAGTGGAATTCAGGCGTTGAAGATAATTGAAATCAGACGGAACACTTACATCGATATGAGCAATGGTACGTTTACGAGAAACGTGTGGACCATACATTGAATTAGGGAAAGCGGTGGGGAAACCATTGGAGAAGCTCATGAGGTTGAAGTTAAGAAGTTGAGGTTGGGAGAGGATGAGTAGTGTATTGATGACTTGAACGCAAGAATCAAAACCAGACGATGCTGAAAGATGATGTGATTGCTGGATATATTTTTGGAAAGTGAGATATCAAGAGATCAAGAAGTGCGAGATGGAGGTTACAGGCAATAGATGCGCTGAAGAAATGTTTTGAATGCGATGTTCAAAAAATGAGAATAAATGATGATATAAAATCAAGAAATTCGATGTGAAGGTTGATGGCAATAAATGTGCTGAGGAAGAGGAAGAAATGAACCACTTCGTGATGTCCAACACTTTCTTATACCCTCAAATCCTCACGAAAAGTTCATGGTCGACGTCACAATCTCAAAATGTGCCCATGTTCCTGATTATCGTCACAATGGATGCAATTCCTTATAAGATGGCTTTCTGTGCCTTAAAAATTAGAATCATGCAACTTTTTGATTACATTCCTCAGATCAAAGATGCCCAAATGACGCGTAGCGAACACGTTGTTGAAAATTGATAAACGGTTTGCTTGGTGCGTTATTCAAAAGTTACAAAATACTCTACAGATTTTCCCTTCCGATGCAAAAGGAATGTACTGTTCAAAGCTCATGCTTTGACAAACACCGGAAGTGAAGCCCAAACTTAGCATTGAATCCCAACAAAATGGTGTAAAACCCATCAAGATCTTCATATCTGTTAATTTCATTGGCTTAACAAAGAGATGACAAAATCTTGAAGTCTTCAAAGCAAGATAACCAACTTCTTTTCATCAAATAATATTTCTCATGGTCATATCACCACTCTTACCATTTTGTTTTTGCTTCACCGAGCCGGATTCAATTCAACTCAGATGTCTTTAGAATACTATGTAATTATGCAGTTTTACTTAGTCAACTTTCCTTCAGAAGCAAAATCCAAGGTTCCCACTTGGGGATGTCTTCTCAAAAGAAAAAGTTGCAACCTTGCATGAAAGTTGATACATTGAAGATAATATTTCATATTGAAATGTATCTTCAAGCCAACAACCCAAGTGGTCTACCTACAGTCAAAATCCCAAATGATAATGCTTTGAAAGATGAGACCAAACAAGATGTACAGTTTGAAGACCTTGATCAACTCCAAGAATTTGAAGACAGAGTTCATTATGATGATCCATTGGAACTGGATGATGAGGAAAAAATCTACATGAAATTTACATTTGACATTGCTCTGTTCAATAGTTCCCATTCTAATCACATATCTACAGAGGTCATGGTAGTTCATACTGATTCTGACAACACAGACTCATGGGATGAAGACGATTTCTTTGTTTGAATTTTCATTATTCTCGCTAGAAATGATCAATTGGTTTCCGCTTCAAAAATTTCATCATTGGTTTTTTTTTTGGTTTTGCGTGCTCAAAAGGTGCATCCTGACGCCCGCACACCATAGGCGCGCCTTTTCATGACCAAAAAAGGCGCTTTGGGCACGCCCTAAATCTAAGCCCCATGTCCACCACGTCAGTTGAGTTGATCAACGTGACATCAACGTTCATTGTAAGGGATATCTTAACGCAATATCCTATGCTTACAAAAAAGAATATGAGAATGTCAAGATTTGAAGATAAATACTATCTACAATCGAAAAAACAAAAAAAAACCTTTTTGCTACTTTTACTTAGCACATAAACTGCTAGAAAAAATAATTGATGAAGAGAAAATGAGAAAAAGTTATTCAAGAGGAAATTCAAGATAAAGATTTGAAAATACTTATACATCATTTTACTAATTGAAACGAACAAGAACTCAAACTAACAAAAGAAGAAGAAGCGAAATAAAGAAAAAAACCACAATAAATGAGAAAGAGGATATTTGGAATAAAATTAGGAGACCGTATCGAGTACTTGACAGATGAAGATGTTTGATATTGATTTTCAGTGTTTTGTTGGATAACATTTGGTACCGGAGGATAAGGTAAACTAATTAAATCCTGATCCACCACGCCTTTCCCCCCGAGCTGAGTTATCTTGGACTCCGCCAACTAGTATGGAATGTGATTTGATACATTTCCACATGACCCAGACATCGGCTTTCTCCTCTCTATCGGTGGGTTGGAAGGCCGATAAGGATATAATGCCGGCCTGAATGTCACTGTTGGAGACGGGTTAAGTGATGAAGGTAGGGATGGATAAGATGTTGTGGGACTACATTGGATCCCGTTCATTAACCTAGGTGTGGTAGGTTCAGGAGACATCAATAACTCCAGTGCCAACTTCAGCTTAAATGCCTCGAAGGCTTCATCCCTAGCTGGTCTCTGATACTTTGGAATCATGGAATAAATTGAGAAAGGAAGATTAGATTCTGATCAAATAGGATGAGGAGAAACCATTTTAAAGATGGGTTACATACGTTCATCTGTGGAGGTCTTTGAACCAATCCCCTTCCACTGTCAACATACAAATTCGGCACAAAAGTTTGCATACTCGATGTTGTTCCTGTGTTGGAGTATACCAAGCTTTGAGGTTGGCAGTATACAAAGTTTTGCACCTGAGGTGGTGCATATCGCGCACTGTTGATGTACGGCCTGAGATTATTAGCAACGCAGGCCGAATTCTATAGTGAAAGGAACAAGTCATTGAGAATCTGTCAATCAGATTCAGACATCGAAAATGTTTTGAGTTAAGAAGATAACTTACATCAAACATGTTCGGATATGGTCTTTGTATCCTTCCACTTCCAATGTACATACTTGGCACGGAATATGGCGAACAAGTTGTCACTCCCGTGTGGCTATATGTCATGTTTTGAGGTTGAGGATGAATTAGGGTTGTAGGTTGTACAATGCGGGTACGCTTGATGTAAACCCTGGGGGCCTGATGAGGGACGTGAACCGAATCCTACAGTCAAAGAAATGAAAAGTCGAGATAATGTTAGTGGGAATAAATGATTGAAGTCAAAAAGATTACTTACCTCAACATGATCGATGCTACGCTTGCGAGAGACTTCTTGAAGAAGCATTGGGTTGAGGGAAGTGTTGGAAGAGCTCATGATCTTGGAATTGAGATGTTGAAGTTGAGAGAATAAGTTGAAAGAAGATCAAGATGATGTAGATTGATAAGATGAATCTATAACTGAAAGAACCAAGACAAGAAAACAATACTGGAAGGTATTTTGATTGATAAAGAAATGGTTTGAATGTGATATGTTGATAACTAAAAACCAATATTGATATAATATCAAGAAATGTGCGGTGAAGTTTAATGGCAATAGATGTCTAAGAAAGAAGAAGAAGAAATCCAACAATTCTTTCGAAAGAGGTCGTTTCTTATACCCTGAATTTTGATAAAGAGTTGATGGTCAACATCAAAATCCTCAAAATGTGCCACATGATTCAGGTTCCTGGTTATCGCCACAATGGATGGATTTCTTTCTTAGACGGCTTGATATCCCTTGAAAACTACAATCATGCAAATTTTTTGATTCCATCTCTAAGGTCGAGGATGCCCATGAGATGACCCAGATTGAACACGAGGCAGGGATTCGATAAACGGTTGACTCAGTGCCTTATTCTGAAACGTCAAATTTGCAGCTCGAGGTTTGCTCTGGCAATGCGAAAAAGCAACATTCTTCATTAGGGTTGCTTTGAGAATGACCATTGAAGTGAAGTTTGTTCTTATCATGTAATCCCAAAAGAATGATATTCAAAGTCTATTAAGATCCTCATGATCTTTTGATTTTGTTAAAGCTTTTATCCCTCAACAAAGAGGTCACAAGAAAAGATCAACATGGCTTGGAGTTGAGGTGTGATGAAATTCTCAAACAATCCTAATGCTTTGCCCAAACCCAATATTATATGTACATCAATTTGTATCTTTGAACCAAAAATCAACTCCAGAGTCCCCTTCTCAAAAAGTAAATAAAGAAACTCCACATAAAGAATTTGTTAATCAAAAGGATGGAGATACCTTGAATGATCACCACATAATTGATTTATGTTTGAATGTCTTGTTCCTTTCTGTTTTTCCAAAAGATTCCAAACCATTCTCTTGAGAAACCACACATCTTGCTCACAACTTCCTCAAAAAAATACTTTAAATTTCTTGAAAGACAACAAAAAAATATCCTAACCAAAAAACACACACACAAATAATACCAAACATTTCATCCAAAAACAAACAAACCCTATCCCCCACACTCAGAATCAAGGTTTCTTCATACTCATTTCAATTGCTTTAGCAATCGCTTCTTCTTCATCTAATTCTTCATCTCCTTCTCCTTGTTGATCAGCATCATTCATCCTATTACAAACAAAAAATCAATTACACTTGATCCAATGAACTAATCCAATCCATCTAGGAAAACACTTACTCAATATCTTCTTCTCTACTTAAAGCTAAAGCTTTAGCCAATTCATCATCCCCACTTGCTTCTTGGACACTTGAAGAAACCGGATTAACAGTCGAAGCTGTTGTACCAGTAGACGAAGATTCTTGTCTTGTAGCAGCAGCTTGTCTTGCTTCTTCTTCCTGTAACGACATTCTCAAAGCCTATAAACCAAAAATCAAACACATCAAATCAATTCCTGCATCACTTCTTTCGGATTTGGATTCAAAGAGAATAAAACCAACCATTGCAAGTTCAGGATCAAGATTAGGATCCAAATCTAGACCACCACCTTCACCATTCCCAAGCTGACCATCATTTCCACCTCCCATCCCACTTCCAGTAGCCCCATTCCCAAACCCTTCTTCGGCCAAGATCTCACTCTGTTTAATATGATCACTCAACAAACCAGGAAGACCACTAGGAACGACCAACAACTTTGAATTTCCAGCACTATTGACATTCTCAATAAACACTTTCAATCTTTCTTCATTTTGATCGGTTTCGGCTCCAAACAAAATCACATCTACTGCCACATTGTTCTTCTTCAATTTCTTCCCTAATTTAATCAATTCTTCTGTTGTTAGATGAGATGGTAATGGTGATGAAAGTAAAACGATCGCTCGCTGTCTTTGGTTTTTTTCTTGTCTATGTTTGAGTGCTAAACCTGCTACACTTAAACCTGATAATAAGTCTGGAATCCCATGAGATTTAACTGTTTGTAAAGACACGTGAATCTTGCCTTTTTTGCGGAATTGAATCAAATTTGAGTACACCAATCAGTTTCTTTCACGTCTCTTTCGTCATTTGATGTGTTATACTAGAGATTGTATCTACCTTCGTCTGTAGTGGGTGTAACAAGAACTGTAGGACTACAGAAAAAGAAAGCAAGAAACAGATCAGATACGCCTAAATAAACAAAATTCAAACAACTTCATTTTACCTTTTTCCAGCAAAAGTCATAAGCCCACACGTACTCTCCGGATTTCTAATCGAACCAATCCAAACTTCAAAAACCAACCATTCTACTGATATTGGAGTTCAATCAACCTACGAATTTGTTTTTGCACGAAAGATAGTCTTGACTGCATCCGAAGCAGCTTCTAACCGAGTTGGAATAACATCTGAATTAATCCTTAAATCATCAAGTTCCCAAAAACACAAGATATCAATTGAATGATCGGTTTGAAGAAGTTAAGTTTCGGTTTGAAAGACTAACGAGTAATCCGAATTATCTAGCCTTCAAAAACCAATTTCCAAAGAATGCCATCAGTTTATGAATTTCAGTATCATGATAAAATGTTGAGATATTGAACTGACATGCAAACTGTAGCCTGTTATCGAATCGAAACCACAAGTCAATTTCGATCATCTAGTTTTGACTCAGATTGCGGTGATAAGTTCAGATTTACTTACTTCCAGTGGCATCTTTTCGATTGATAGGTTGATTAAAGTGTTGAGTTAATGTTGTAGTTTGGTGTTGGTTGATAGTTGAAGTAGTTGATGGTAAACAGAGTGAGTGCACCCAGTCATCATCAGTCAGCTCATCACTCGAGAGTCGATCACAAGAAATTCGTTATAAGCATTACCACCTGGGAGGTATGCTTATACTGTTTCATGCGATCGACTACGTCATCGGCTTTGAACCACTCTTCAATTCATCCTCAATGTTTGCCAATCAAACCAATCATCACTATCAACATATTCAATCCACAGCTGAGCAAACAAAGAAACTAAACTTCAAGTACGAAACCCCCAATCTAATCTGACCCTTCGAAAAGCAAAAAAGGACTTACTTAAATTGGAACTATACAGATGAAAAAACCAAGACGAATTTGGGTAGGTTAGTCCGTTTTTCTCAATTCTTTCAATCCTAAAGGTTTATTGATTTTGTTTTTTATATCTGCCTTTCAATGTGAAAGATGGGTGAGTTCTGGTTTTAATCACATTATTCAAATAATCATCAAATATTAAAGAAAATCGTTTTGTGATATGGATTGATTTAAACAGATGTTTCGAGTAAGTTGATCATCCTTAGAAAACCTCTTTACTCCAATCAAACTCTCGTAACTAACGATCTTCCCTTGCTTTGTGAATTCAGTTTGTTCCACTATGGTCATGCGAATGCATTTCGTCAAAGTAAAGGTAACTTCAAAAAACCAATAATTTTTATCAAAACCGAAACCAAACTCATCCTATTTTTTCTTTAATCTAGCTTTAGGTGATATTTTAGTTGTAGGATGTCATTCAGATCAAGATATAGAAACAAACAAAGGTCCATCAGTCTTATCACAACCAGATCGGTTTGTTGTCCGTATCCCATTTTCAACCAATTTCAAGTCCATCTCACCAACGCTGAATATTTGATGATTTTAATTTTTACAAAAACTAGAATGAAACTCATCGAAGGTTGTAGATGGGTAAACCAAGTGATTCCAGATGCACCCTACAACACCTCACTCGACTTCATTAACCAATACACCATTGATTTCGTAGCTCATGGTGATGATATCACCACAGACTCTAATGGATTAGATACATATCGATATGTAAAAGAAGCAGGAATATATTTAGAGTTTAAACGTACTTTAGGTGTTTCTACTACTGATGCTATCAGTCGAATCTTATTCGGTTCTACAACGACTTCTACTTCTATAAGTCCATTGGATTTTCAACTTCAAATCAATGACGAATTACTTGAACTTTTCATCACGTCTTCTATAATAGATTCAAACTATTCAATCGATTCATTGATTACAAAAATTCCATCTCAGGATTCGAAACCGATTGAAAATCATCAAGCTCCTTCAATAAGAGAAGATGGGTATACTTTAGCTTCTGTTTTACCGATTGATCAAATCCAAGAATCGAATTTAATTTATGTTCATGGTACATTTGATTTATTTTCAATTCTGGATCTGGATTATTTAAAAGAATTAACTCAAGATGGTCAATCTAAAGTGATTGTAGGCATTTGGGGTGGAGATGTAAGATCAACTAAGTCTTGAAAATCATCAAAATAATTCCTAAACTGATTTAGTTTGATTTCTTCTTTTGTTTTGGTGGGATGAATGATTTCACAGGATTCTAAAGAAAAATTAGGTCGAGATTGTATTCTTTCATTCCAAGAAAGAGCCCTAGGAGTTCTCCAATGTAAAGTAAGTCATCTGCCTTCCATCAACACCATCATTCCAACTATCAATCTAACTTTTTCACTTTCATCAATGATTTATAAAAAAAGTATGTAACAGCTATAATGATACCAGCAATGCCAACTGAAGATTTACCATTTAAGATTAAATGGTCTGAATTTAAAAAAGATAATTCGGATTATACGGTTTCTAGAATCTTGAATAGGAAAGAAGTGTTTTTGAATAGACAACTTAGGAAAGAAGGAAAAGCTGTGGTTGAGAAATTGATTGAAGATCAAAAAAATGGAATCACTTCTTGAACTTTAGGTTTTGGATGTGGTTTTGTTGGTTGTTTTTGGGTATTGGGGGGTAACAGGGTGAGGGGTTTGTGGGGGTTTGGTTATTTGAAATATATTTGCTTAGTATAGTTTCAATTCACTTGGGGTTTGATGTGTTTGTTTGATGTCTAAAAGAGATTAACTTAAAATCTGATCCTAAAGTATATTTTGAGAAATATATCTTGGAAAGCATGGAATGGTATTAATACATGGGCTCTGGGACAAGCCTAAGGGTGTGTACACTTAAGCAATTTCTGAACAAGAATTGTGTTCTGTATATTGTGAAACACAAAAATGAACCATACTGTACCAAACCAGGACTTTGAATTTGGCAGAATGCAATTTCTGACCAACATGAAGGGTATGTCAAAAGAAAAACTTATAGACAATACTCTGGGAAGAATGAACCCATTTGTATCTAAAAGTCAACAACACACCTTTTTTTGACTAGATGGCCAATCTTCTAATGTATACCAGTCCCTTTAATTGTACTGCTTAGCTAGTTTTGTGTGCAATTTAGCTAAAAGCACTCAACAAAAAGTAGGTTTTGACTTTGTGGTTGGCAAGGATGACCAATTCCTTCCTGTAGTGTGTGAGTGACATGCAACAATATGTCACTGGCCTACCTATCTAAAATCATGCTTGATGATTGTTGGCTTTTGAAACTTAGTATCTGGGATTACACTTAGCAGCCACAGATGCAAGACTTATTACTTGAAAAAAGAGAAAGGCAGAAGCATATTTTCATATATGGGTGGTCTTCATGTCTGCCATTCATGGCCACTGCTACATTAGACTTTTTACTACTATAACATGTGATTTAGAATAAATAAAAACCAAACAAATTGTTCATTTTTTGGATTTAATTGATCATTTTGTTTCCCCTTCACTCTGGCTAATTGGGTGGGCAGGTAGTTATGGATTTTTGTAAGAAAAATGAACCATCAAAATGTATCTTCAGGATCATAGACTGGATGAAAGATGTGACTAGATTTTTAATATTATACTTTTTAATGACAAAAGGGAATTTGAGATTTTAAGCAATCCATATATCCTAGAGCTCCATCCTTTGAGAAATCTGTAAAGTATTTGCTCATCTTTGATCCAGAAGCAGCTCTATAATTCTTGTCTGTAAGGAATGGTATTCTTTGTGTGCCCAACTACTATGATCCAAACCACCCTTTTTGCCTCATTCCCATCTATCAATACTTGCCCCAATTCTCAATCAAAATGTACTTCAAAATACATTGAGGGGTTTCAAGCTTGGTGATTTTTCACATCTTTTTTAAAAATGTGTAAAAACCTCTAACTTGAAACTTTTCAAAAGCACTGCTTAAAATACGCTGCAGATTTTAAAATACGGAGATCTTTCAGAAATCTGAAGTGCGGCTGGCAGCCAACCTGAAACACCTCAGAGTGCAGCTAATTAATCAGCTGCGCTTCAGCTGTTCCTTGCACAGCTGGTCCGGTGTGGGTACAACAAATGAATTGCGAACGCAATTCGCCATTGGAGAAAGTTGCGGACCCGGCCACCGCAACTTTCCCCAATCGGGTTTCACACCTATTGATAATTTGATTCCCGTGTTGTTACGACTTGCATCAGGACCCTGGAAAGCTCCTGGAGAACAAACCGTCCTGAGGGGGTTTTCGGATACCGGTGTTTTGTGAAGTCATGTCACATGGTACCAGAGATGTGACAGGTGCAAAAGATGCGCCTCAACGAGGGCTATCAGATGGTACACATGTCTGACCCTGAACATGACTGGTGGCTTGGGAAATGTGTGATTTGTAACTTTTGCCCCCCCAGACCGACGAAAATCCATACCGGCTCGGGTCGGGTACTTACATACGGATATCTCGGTGATTACACGTGGTACAAAACTGAAAGTATATGTAATCGAGAGCCCTGATCAAGGCGCTTCTCCTACCACCGAGAAATCCATGTTAACCCACCTCTCCTCGGGGCAAATAGTGAAAGTGTGAGGGCCGGGGCCGGAATGGATCGAGGACGGTTTGTTCTCCAGGAGCTTTCCGGGGTCCTCTTGCATCCGCACAATTCACCCTTGTTGACGACATCTGTAACAAATACAGTCAAACCGGAAAAGCTTGACCGATTTTGCCCGCAAAACTCGAGCAAATTGGCGGGGAATTGGTGGCAAGCTTTTCCGGTTTGACTGTATGTAGGCGGAGAAGATCTTGACCCTCGAACGCTGTACAAATTTCCCCCGAGAATTCATGCCCACACCACCATCCATCGGGAACTGCGCCACGTAGGCTTCCCAGATTTCCCCGACCACGCAGTTGCAGTTTCCCTTCCGATTTTATTTGTTTCCAAAGGTCTAACATGATTTTTTGGCTTAGGATTTCCATACAAACACGTGTTTTTCGACTAGACAAAAGCCACACCAAATGAAAACCCAACACGGATTAGGCTTCGACCCCCCCCGCATCCTCCCGCATCGTGATCTCACAATTCCTCACATTTCTTACCGACCCACCCACATGGATTTGCGGTGATTTACCGGGGGGGTTGACTCTTAAGTCTTGAAAGCCGGTAAAGTTGTAGTGTGTACAGGCTTGTACAGGGTCTAGGGGAAGATAGCTGCGTGGGGCAGCGGCACGGTCAAGACTCAACATCCGACTTAGTGTGACTGCCGGCCTCTGCCGGCAGTGCAATGCACCGCTCGATTCAGGTGGGGGGGATCAGCTGCTATTACCTCATATTAAGTATCTCCAGACTCCGTCCGTGAAGTTGAAACTTCGAGGGCGGTTCCGGTTCTGTAAATCCTGAATATAGCTCACACGCTAGGTTGATGTGATGTCTTTCACCGAGTTTCCAGCACGTTGCACAGCCGAGCATTTTCTTGGCTTGCTCTCGAACTCCAAGGCTGCGAGTACGTTTTCTTTTCATCTGGCTCAACTTTCATGAATGACTTTACTACTTACTCGCTTTTCCACAGCAACACGGAGATTTATGGATAGTATAGGACAAAGCTTTTGAAAGACTCTGGACTAGCCTCCAACGCCATTGTCTGGCTTCGGTTGACGTGTCAGGTGGTCGATATGGGTATCGGAGTAGATCAGCCGAGGGAGGATAAGAGGGCGTTGAGTGGAAGCGAGTGATGAACAACTCGGCCGACCAATATGGAAACAATCACGCTACATGAGAGTGCTGCCGGAGATTGCGGTCTTCGACAGATACCCAAGATACACGCTCTGTACACAGAAACGACGTGGTGTTTTGAGGCGAGAGCAGCGGTGAGCAACGTTGAAGCTCGAACAGACCGGCTCAACCGAAAGGGGTACATATCAAAGAGCTAAAGAGATGTTGTAATTGACTAAAACGCACGCTCTTGTACCCAAGTCATTGCGACCGGTCGTTTAATTTGCTTTTGGGTGTGTGTGGACTCGGTCGGCTTGGAATAAGTGCCGAGGCGGAGCTTTAAAGCCGAGGTTCTCCAACCGGTTTGACGGTTGGGGCCGTTCATTCCTTCAAATCCTTGCGATCGAGGGCGAGGGCGTGAGACGCAGAGTTATGTAATGTACATCTGATTCCTGCGCAACCCAATCTGATCTGGGCTCGGTGGCCATCCATACCGGCCCAGCTCGAGACTTATGACCCCGATCTTGTCCATTTTCTTACTTACACAGGGTTCCTAAATTAAAAATATCATCACCGGCTTCATCCATCCATTCACCGATTCCTTTCTCTTTCCCATAACGGTCATCCGTCCTTTCTATTCGTCCTTTAACAGGAGTCATCACATTGTACTCTGACTGTTTAGCAGTTTCTCCTTTTCCTCCTAGCTCTTTGTCCACCCCTTTGATTCCAACCAACTGCCCCAGCCACCGACGCCGGTTCCGCTTTGAACTTGTTTCGGGTCCATCGTTTAATCCCATCAATCTCAACTAAACCCCCCTCTCAGATCTATATACTTTTGACTACTTAAGCTGCTTCGAGTTGCCACCCGGTTCTGGCCAATTTTTCTTAAATCTGCTGGTCTATCGCCATAGTTAGCTTCTAGTCCACGTATCCATCCCATCTTCATCGGACCCCACTTTGATTATTTCTGCAAGCACATCGTCATTGGTTTTCTGTTGTGGTTTAGTTCCTCACAGCCTTTGATTCACCTTGCCCCTCATGCTCGAAGGTTCATTTAGACCTCCTACTTCTCATCAACAATCTTATTCATCGTCCGACCATAAGTCCTACGCTGATCCATCGACAATGTCAGCTATCCGGCGTAAGGACCTCACCAATGGCCCATCCTTCACCACAATCCCCTATCATCATACACCACAACAACAATCACCAGGCTATGAGACTGATGAGCAACCTCAACCGCCATCTCCCGGCTCTCAGCAACCTCATTATCTTCACCACCAACAGCCGCTTCCAGCTTTCGAAACTTTACCACCCATCAAAACTGAGCCAAAGCCTATGCCTGAACCTGCCCCAAAGGAAGCCAGTTTTGGTCCCGTGAGAGCCAAAAAGAAACCAGCTGGCTCCGCTTGTAACAGCTGTCACCGGTTAAAGGTTCGTCGTGTTTCGTATTTGAGTTTTTTTCTTTTTGCTCCCATGTTGAATAATCTCACCCTGATCATGTGCGATGTTTGCTTTTTGACTTACAGACTCGATGCTCAGGAGGATATCCGTGTGATCGATGTGCTGCTCACAAGGTTCCTTGCCAATTTGATCGAGATCTGATTTATCGGTCACCTTTGGCGTCATCCTCGCAACAAGCATCTGCTCGTAATACTCAAGTGCAAAATAGCCCACACAACCCCAACGAGCCTATGCCAGCCAAGACACCTCGTGCTCGTCCCAACAGCGGAAACAAAGCTGCTAGCAAGCGTGCTGCTACCCAACAACAGCAAGTACCATCACCTTTGGCAGTCAGTGCTCTGCCAGCTCACATCGATGCCAGTCGATCAACTCCTTCACCACCTGTACCATACCGTAACATACTCAACCCACAACAAACATTGCCAATGCGAGCTCAGCCTACCCCATCAGCACGCAAATTGCCTAAATCCACTCTGATCACGACCCCCGTTCCATCTGAGGCGTTTTACGAACCAAACTCGTCGGCTTCCGCAGCCATCAATCAGTCAATCTTACTTAGATTAGCTGCGCTTGAAACCAACGTCTCCGGTCTCTTACAAGTCTTGCGTCCTGCCCAACTTCATCAACAGTCCAAATCTCAGCAGAGAATGCGCGAACCTCCGACTCCCATTCCGCCTACCTTGATGGTGTCAAGCAATTGCAGTAACGTTGGACCCGAAAAAGATGGACATCATCCTTCAGATTCGAATGGAAGAGTTGGGTTTGCACCCGTTGGCGCCGGTGATCCCCTCTCAGAGGGCTTGCTCAATTCGCAGCAGGTCCAATATCTATACGATGTGTAAGTCTTGTTACCTTGTCAAAGATAAGCGTCCAAAAACTGAACATATGTGTTGTTTGTAGTTTTGTCGATTGCTGTTTACCAAGCTTGCCAATCTTACATCGTGTTCAGCTATCAATGATCCGAGCCCGATCACCATTCTTATTTAGTACAATGTTGACGATTGGAGCCAGGTTCTGTTCAACTCAAGCTGTATCACAATCAACTGGCACATTGAGCGTCCCTTCTTCACCAAATCCTCTCGGACCAGGCGATTCATCATCCAAGGTGATTGTGGATGAAACCACTTACAGTAGACTCGTAGGATTGACATATCAACATCTCTCGAGTACATTGCTTAAACCAAGTCACTCCTTGGATGACGTTCGGGCCATCTTATTCTTGGCTTGTTGGGCCTTGGTCTCGAATGAGGACCCGGTTGGGGCTCCAAATCGATGGGTTTTGGTGGGTCATGCCGGCAGAATCGGTAGATCAATTGGACTAGACAGAGTCGTAGGGGACATGATGAGCAATCTTGCTTCGAATGGGAATGGAGATAGTTGGAATTCACCTGATCAACAAGATCTCAAGCGTGACCAGCTGGATGCCATCAAGACTGATTATACGATGCGTTCAATTGAAGCTTTGTGAGTTATATATACTCCATAGTCTGATTTTCTTGAAAGACAAAGTGCTCATTTTACCTTATATTTTCGATATAGCCTGAGTACCAATCTACGCATAGAACCCACGCGAGACTTTTTTTCGCGAACCTCCTCAAGATCATCAAACAAGACAACAGAAAATATCGTACAATTGGCGACTGGGTCCCCATTTCAATATGATGTTATCAGTACGACACAGGTTCAAGCTATGGCAGAACTGGCCGAAATTTGGGCATCTTCGACCACTTTTCTCTCAATGGCCGACGAATTTAATCGATCTAAACATGGATCTTCTTCTTACAAAAAAGATGACTTATTGAGTGATGTAGAATTGGCTGAACTTGGTGAAACTCACAATTCAGCGTTGGATGATTGGGCTAAGAAATGGACCTGGCATGGTATGTGATTCAATTTGAAAGCTCGATTATAAAGACGGTCGAAATTGATATTTCCCTTCTTCATTCAGGATCGGCTTGGGTTCCTTTACTTGGTAACAACCTACGTACACTCAAGCTTTTATCTGAATCGCTACGGATTACTCTTAATCTAGCCCTCACCAACGTCCTGTATGGGTCGCTCAATACTAGTTCACCCTCTCACCGATTTCAAGAGCGATTGTCGGTAGCCTTGGACAGAGTGAACGGTTCATCTACTGCTGTCATTCAAACTCACAGAGATTCCGTGCGAGAAGGTTTCAGCCTTGCTTTCACGCCTGATCTGATCACGGATGGACTAGTCTCCGCCGCTTTGACTGTCCTGCAGCTTGCTACACCTTTCAACAACCCACGCAAGCATGATGATGCACGAGGTCCTAGTACTCCTACTTCATCCGACGGAAAGGGCAATGCTCCAGTGGATGTAGAGATGAGCGATGTGACTACCACGACCAGTGGAAGCACAAAAGGCCGACAACTCAATCATCAAACAAGTCCAGTCAGTCCGCCACCGGTTGAAGAAAGCGGTACTGTCATTGGAAAGAAGGCTTTGATGGAACCTGCTGTAGCGGCTCACTATATCAGAATGGCCACTGATGTTTTGCGAGCGAGTGATCGATCTCAGACAAGATTAGCGACTACAATGGCTTCCAAAATACTTTTACTGGGCGTTCGAGCTGGACTATTGGGTGCACCTCAACAACAATATGTACCCCAACAACAGCCTCATCAGCCGCTGCCATCATTACATCTCGTTAAACCAAAGGAGCAGGATGGAGCTGAGACTCCTCAGGTGGAGAGTGTTGAGAAAGGTCCAACTAGAGAATCGACCGTCAGTCTAGAAAAAGAACCAGAAAGGGAGGCGGAGGTCGAGGTGGAAATGCAGGCTGAAGAACATGATGAAGCAGACATTGAAGAGGAGGAAGAAGAGGAAGAAGAAGAGGAAATACAACCTGGTGAAAGAGAAGTTGAACATGAGGAAGAAGAAGATGAGGAAGAGATGGACCAATGACGGTATTTTTTTTCCATGTTTACACAAACAAAGGCCTATATTTTTTCCATCTTTGCATTTCGAATTTATTTGATCAATCCTCTCGATGAGTTATCATGACAGAACTGAATATCTTTTTTGTCACTTTGTTTATTTGAAGCTTTTCCTTGTATGAACCCATGTATTTTTTTCGTCCTTTTAATCATAAGAAAGCTACATATATTAAACAAATTTACATTAGTTCGAGCGAACTCGTAAGCGAGAGATTGACAATTTCTCGACATGCTGTTACACAGGCAACCAGTTGAGCCAAAGAGTGGTACCTTTTGACCAATCCACATTGACACAGAAACCACCAGTCCAGTTGCCGGGTTCTTTTGTAAGGAAAACACTTCCAGAGACAGACAAACTTTTGTGTTTGATTCACCGGCTCATATAACTGATTATGTTCTCCTCTTTTCTGTGACGATAGAGATTGTGACTTAGACCTCTGTAGTGAGTAATATAATACAAAGCCTTGAATATGTGAAATACCACAAGATAACAAAGGTATCACTTATACGTTACGCCTCAGAGTTTCATCTCATCAATGTACACATTGTCATCGGCTTTTCTACATCTGCATATAACTTCCTGGAGCTGTTCTTGTCCTAAGGGTAGAGAAGGGGATTGGGTGGAACTAATCCTCTACACTCTTCTACCTTTGGGACCACCCCCAAACCACCAACATGTAGGCTTCTGGCCCGGATGTGCTGGCTCAGCGTTGCTCTGCGAGTGGTAGGACAGCTCTATGGAGCTGAGAACATATAGAACACCTAGTTCTCTTTTGCTTACACAAAAACACCGAAGGTTACTATAGTGTACCTTCCTTGTAACGCACTTTTCAAGAATTGGAAGCCTGTTTTACCTGTTCTAGTTTCCCCATCCATTCTCCAGTTTGTTGAGAGAGGGCGAGTAAGCTTTTTGGTAATAGTCTCGACAGTAAAATTAAAATTTGCTCATCAAGCTTGAGGAATTGATTTCCGATGAACATCACACGCATTGCCGCATGCATTTACCTCTTGCACGGTAATGTTACGCAGCCTGGAGACCATTGGCAAAGAACTTCTCACTGTGTGGTGAAGACTAGACATCTCGGGCCGACACGGAATGTTGTGAAGATGAATGCGTATGACTAGAGCAGCGGGAACAAACTTGTCTCTGCTTATACATATCCTAAACCCACCTGCAGTCTACCTGGACCAAAGCCCACAGTGGAGGACAGCGAGGTGGGACTTGAGGGACGGTGTGATTCAAGACTTATGGGACGCAGTAAGTAACACACGTCAAAGAGGGGAGAGGAGAGCGAGATGTGCAAGTATGGAAAAGCCTTACAAAGTTGGCTGGGCATCCCACATAGAGATCTTACATAGGCAATCGTCATGTCTCGCCTTGTTCTCCGCTGACAAGTCCACTATGGAAAGTGCCTTTGTTACATCCTCATTTTCTTTCAGTCTACAAGATGATGAAGGACCTGCTATAAAGAATGTCACCTTCATTCAAAGGGCTTTTCCACATCCTTGCTCTTGAATCTTCTGACTTCTAACAAAACTCAGAATGATCACGCTGAAAATATATCTTATTCTTGGCAGATCGCCAGGTTTGCCAGTGGGTTTTCATTGCGTATGCTGTGCTCTATCTTGCACCCAGCACTGGTGTCCGTTCCAAATCTTACCGCCTCTTACTGAATTTTACAAACCTGGCTATGGTTTTATGGGCTCAGCTCATTTTCATCTTCCCCTTCTATATCTTTATCAAGCTTTTTTCCTTTTGCAGGCTCTTGTAAACGTCATGCACTCCAATACTCCGTTCATCTCTGAAAGACATTGCATTGATGATTTATGTCATCATATATATCATTTGTTCAGTGGCGTCATTATACCATACCTATGATAGAAATTTCTTTTCTGAAGCGTGTTGTCTAGAGCCGCGGTATGATCAGAAACTCTTTGAAAACAATGAGTGTTTTTGCTGAAGTCAAGAAAAGCTCCAGTATCTCAATCCAAAAAGTCTTGACAGTCAAAAATGCTTCGAATTGCTGAATTGCGGTGAAACATCCCTACTCTTCCAAAGGAGGACTAGCATAATATATTCGCTCTTGCGAAAAGCTGCCAATAGAAAAGGATCAGCAGCTGAGTCATTGTCCAACAGCTGAGCCAAGCTTTTATATTTAAACCTTCAAAAGAGCCACCTAGAATATCATACATCATCCCAACCTCGCTCGAAACCTCATTGATTTACATAATATTTTCAATTTTGTCTACTCAAGATGGCACAATCCATTCCACGTACTTTGTCTTACTCGGAACTCTTGAAGATCATTCAAACTTTCCAAAGCGATATCGACCATCTAAACACACCTCATATCAAACCTGAAGACCGAATCTTACCTTGTCTTATCCTGTACATGTGCTTCTCGGAGGCCATCATGTTGGAAATCGAGGCCCGCGGCATTTGGGATAAGAACGAAATTCATACCTGGCGAAGGGAACTTGAGACAAATGGCTTTGTTCTTGATCAGATCATAAAAATTTCTCAATTTGTAGACGTCGATATGCCGCTTGTCCACTTTCTTCCTCCTCCTGGATCAGAAGAATGGTGGGGTCTCTATATTTTTTCACGTCTATTGGTACAGTGTTCTCGTGTATACATTCCAGAACCCCGAGACAATGGAGGAAAAAAACCTGACTGTCCGATCTGTGGTGAAGATTTTATGGCGGGCGAACGTTATGTTCAATTACCTTGTCATCCTACCCATTGGCTACACGAAACATGCCTGACAGATTTTGCAGCACATACTCTGGAAATTTCCTGTCCGCTTGGTCGCTGTACTTTCTGGTTGTAAATGATCTTCAAGTTGTAGATTTGTGTTTTGTGTTTTCTACCCCACCTCAAGTTGCAAATAAAGACCACGGAAGATCCCTTGATCCCTAGGGAACTGGATGCAATCCACTCCATGACTCTTCCTTTTTTAGCCCATATCTTCCATTCTTCAATACTTTGGATACAACCACTGTATCTGGCAGCACTAACAACAGCACTGTTTTGTTAGCCCAACATCAGTGTTTAACTAACACAGTTGAAGATCTAGTGCGTTCCATGGCTGCTATAATTTGTAAGTATCTATTCACCGTCTTGGTCATGAATATCATTGACAAATAATGCTGATTAATTCTGTCATGTTGAATCCAATTGCAGTATCTTGTTTCTGTTATCTAGAATTTGATTTGACTCTCAATTTCTAAAAAACCGTTTAACAGGGGGTTTCAAGTCAGCTTTTTTACGCATTTTGACACTACAACAACTTGCCCATTGTTGTAAGATATGCATACAATTTTCAAAGTGGGGCAACCTTTTTGGTGTCCCAAATTAATGGTTTTACCAGTTTTGTTTTACAAAAAACTTGCCCAAATTTTGAAAAAAAAAATGCAAAAAAACAAACAACATTGAAACACCCTAATTAATCTGATTTGGATCAATTATTTTTGGCTTGCTCACAATCCCATAGTTGGATTCAATTCTAGACTCTCCTCTGCTCTTTCACAATAGGGCAGTTCAAGAAGGGCTTTTACAACCCTTTTTTATATTTTACATCTTGTTCGGGGTCTGTAAATTTTAAGTAAAATTTTAAGGTCGTGAACCACCTTTAGAGGTGGTTCACGGTTTGGCGATCTTGTAATTGGCCTTAAAATTTTTAAATTTTGTCCCTGAATTTCCAAAAGACAGGGACAATTGAGCCAAAAAAAAGAATTACTTCCATTCTTTCTTTTTTTTGTTCCTGGATTCTGACAATTTTTGGTCAAGAAAGGACCTTGTTTTCTCGTATTTTTTTTCTCGATGGCTTCCTCTTTCATTAACAAAAAGTCTGTACAAAAACACAAGAAAACAAAAAAGAAAACAAAGCCAAAAAAAGAACGGTTGGGACTGTGTTCCTGAATTTACAAAGCTGTAAAACATAAGTTTACAGCATTCGCCGCTTTGCGATCAAGCTTTTTAAGGATTGAGCAACCTTGAAATGACTGATCGCAACTTGGCGACCACGTGGCTCGCGGTTCTCTTCTTGAACCGCCCTAATGTATTGCTCCAATTTTGGACTCACATCATTCATGTGTTTTGTTTCTTATATTTGATTTGATTGATTTTCACTTGCTCAGGATCTGTTTACCCATATTCAATCCTGGACTATCTGGTACTTTGATTTGATTTATTCTCACTTGTTCAAAATCCCTTTAATTTTATACAATTCTGGAAGGTGCAGTTCTTTATTTCAATTCTACACTCTGGTGTTGTTGTCTTGGATTTGTTTCTGGACTCTGGCTCTATCTCAACATGGGCTTAATCTCAAATTAATTTTAGATTCACATTGCTAATCCAGTTGTCATACAACAAACACATTGGTGTTACACAAATATTGTTGTGGCAATTTCCAGAACACCAGAAGTATTTTTTGGTGTGTTCTGGTGTTCTGCAACTTTGAATGCCCCGGTTCATTTGAGGGGCTGCAGCGGAAAGTTGATTTTTGTTTTCCAGAACACCAGAACTGTGCCTGCAGGGTTCTGGTGCAGGCAGGGTTCTGGTGTTCTGGAAAAATGTTCTGGAATTTGCCAGAACAATATTTGTGTACCATAATTGTTATCAAATGCTTAAAGCTCATAAATAGTCATGTCATGAAAATTACATATTAACGGGTGTCAAGTCTGAGTTTTTTTATGGTTTTTACCATAAGAAACTTCTCCTGCTGTAGCATAAATGTACGTAAATTTTACAAAAATAGGAAAAGTTTTATGTATCCCATTTTTGTAAAACGTAAAGAATTCATTTTTACATGTGATCAAAGAGCTCACCTTGACCAATTCACTCTTGGAAACAGGTGTGCTTGATAGTGGATGCAAGGACAACCTTGCATTCTCATAGAGCAGACCTGGCACCAGGCCCTTTACATAGGTGAATCAGCCTATTCACATGTTGTGTGGGAAATGATTCAAGTGACTGGACCATGTAAACAGCCTCTATGGGTTACACACCATCTAAACCTTGACCAGAAGAGTATGGGAATACACTCTGTGCAAATTCCCAAATAGCACCAAAGCGGAACAAAGTTCGGTGTTACTCTTGTTTTGGAACCTTTGAACTGATCTATGGTCCCCTCAATCACATATCACACTCTAGACATTAATTGACTGGGTAATCTTGGTTTTCATGTATTCACATGGTTGTGGTTTTGGCAACCTCCAGGCAATTCTGTGATACAGGCTACACCCTGTCAAACTGTCAATGTACAGACATATTATTTGCACACCAATGGTGGGGATGCCCTTACCAGCAGTTTTCACATTACAAAGTGAATTAATGAGGCAATAAATTCAAACCTCACTCATTGTTGGACCAGTTATTATACAACCATGGCTAAGGTTTTTTTTTGAGTTAAAGTATAAAAACTTAGCTGTTTTATATATTTTTTGTTCTAAAAACTCAAACTTGACACCCCCTATTGTGATATCAAAATCAAAGCCATTTTTTATAATAGCTGTGTTCAAACCTGACCCAATTGACACAAAAACCCTGTACACCGAGTTGCATTTGTGGTGGTAACTTTGTGTGTCTATTTGTTGGACTGATTCCAAACAAAACAAAAACAAATCTTAATATAAGATTGAAGAAAGACACAAAGCTATAAAATCTGATAGTAAGATTTCTAAAGAAACAGTCAAATAGAGAAAAACTTCTAGACTGTAGTTTGAGTTCAGGTTATATAGAAAATAACAAAGAATTGAGTACAGAATGAAATCAAATGAAATGACGTAATGATTTCAGCAAGTCACATGACGTGATGTTCATTATGAAAAGTCACAAAGAAGAAAACAGTTTGAGACAAAAGATCTACCACTAAAGACTAAGACAATGACACTAATCCCCAAAGAATTTGAGAGCACAAACTTAACTCCAACACTATTGACAGCTCTTGACAGCTTCCAGCCAAAGAGTCGACTGGGTATACCAGGTTTTTGTGCAACCGGGTTAGGTTTGAACACAGCTATTATATAAAGATATGACCACTATTCTCAATTGGATTTCATATTGTTCCAAAATGATTTGAAATTCACAAACACTACATCTTATTTGTATCAGGGTGGATACATGTACCCATGTAGAAAGAAAGTCCAATGACCTTTGGAAGACGTGAGAAGAAATATGATTAGAAGAACTAATGAGATCGCAGATCTTATTACTTTGATCAAGAGTAGTATTTGAAATATCTGAAAAGGGCACGGCTGAGTTCTTAATAGGACAAGGCTTGGTTAATGCTTTTTAGTGGTGTTGTTTTGGATAAGTGGCTCAATGTGAAAGTATGAAAATAGATCTTAGGTTTTCAATAATATTTGGAAGTAAAAGATTCTAACAATTGTTGATTGATAAGATTGCAAAATTGAAGCAAAAGTAAATGAGATAAAAGTGATAAGATGAAGAAATAATACAACAGTACGAGTTCTTTACCATTTATACAAGACTTTGACGTCAGGGTACAAAGAACCTGTGATATTTGATAAAATGAACTCGCAATGAAACTGAGGCCAATGTGCCTGGTTAGGTAATCAGTCTACTAGTTATTACAATTACTGTCTAGACTAGATATTCATAGATGTGGCATTTGACCAGCCTAATGTGGAAGTGGCAGAAGAATGGCATCCAGATTGTAGCTACAGGATGTAAGCCCTGCTAGTACTACAGATGGTAGGGGTTGGGCGAAAAAGCAACCAACTGGTTTTGCGCCATTCAGAAATTAGGTGAAAAGAGTCAAAGATGCTGGAAACCTACTGGATGCAGGTACCACAGATCTGTGGTTACCCAAAGTTAGCTCTTGGGTGCAATCATTCTTGTCCAGCTCCCGCCAATCACCCAACAAATTCCCGTCTGTCTCTTCCGGTTCCACCATGTCTCCCCTATCTTTCTTTCCAACCGGGTAGACTTCTGCACCTTCAACAGAAGCGGCCGGGGACCTGTAAAAGGTCAAAAGATGGAGTTTGTGTCTGTTTGTGTGGCTTGTAGCGGCACAGATGGCTTTTCCCTGTAACACTTTTCAATGGTGACAGCTTTGGAGTTGTCAAGAAACACTTCATACTGGTAAGTTTTTTTGCAACACAAAAAGACAGAAAAAAATGTTTGTCAGTTTTGTGAGGCTTTCATATTGATTTCGAGCATTCTCGAAAGCATTCCCAATTTTTTGAACTACAACTGAATTGAGTTTGGAAACCGGTTGGTTGCTTTTTTGCCCAACCCCTAGTAACGTACTTGTTGTGTTCTGGATTTTTGATCACAACTATTAACGGTTCAATGAACTGTTGACAGAAGGTATCACCTTCTTAGTGTGAGCAGAAGTGAAGAGAAAAAATTGGAGACATCTCTTCCATTGGCCCTCATACAGCACTGGATGTACATAAGCTTAAATAAGAGCATCCACAGTGGTTGAGCCCCAAATCAACCAAACCCAGTTTTAGTGGCGCCCTGTACCACTCAGGATGAAGTGGTGCCGGCTCCAAATTGATACAGAGTATGGGTTACACATACTCTGAGGCGTAGTATGCATGTGTCCACACATGTGAAGTATGGGGTTTGGTAAGTGCAACAATTTGGGGCTTGCCGCTATTGTTGTCAAATTTGACAAGCAAGGGTCAAAATTTGGAGTTGGCCCCAAATATATTTAGCCATAGGGCCTGCCACTGCAGCAAAAATCTTGGGCCCTATTGCTACATTTGGCAATAGCCCTGATTTGGGGGTTGCCACTGTGGATGCTCTTATAAGCCCCTCACAAGCGTGTTTGCTGCTTGAGGGCTTAGGATGTACAGT